AGAAAGAAAGAAAGAAAGAAAGAAAGAAAGAAAGAAAGAAAGAAAGAGAGAAAGAAGGAAGGAAGGAAGGAAGGAAAGAAGGAAAGAAAGAAAAAGAAAGAAAGCAAGAAAAAAAAGAAAGAAAGAAAGAAAGAAAAGAAAAGAAAGAAAGGTCTTTCTTTCTCTTTCTTTGTTTCTGCAAACTAAAACCCCAGATTTAAAGGTGAACTTGGGATTTCTTGTGATATTGTAATTTCTATCTCATTTGTAGAAAAGAAATAGTCAAAAATTAGTGGTCCGTGTTTTTGAAATCCAACGTGAAAGCAGCCTGTTGAACTTGTTACAAAAGTGTTGAAAGAAACATATTTCTTCATTACTTTGGTTTTTGGTTTTCTTTTACTTCATTTAATTTGCCTTTTTTAAAAAAGTGAGTTCATGCCTTCTGCTGAAGATTGGTGTTTGGTAATCAATGCAGTATTGTCAAAGAGCCAGGAATGGACAGAGTGAACAGTCTTGACACTGGGTTTCTGAACATTGGGCTTTATGGCTTGATAAAGTTTGAATAGATTGCCAGAAATTCATGTATAGACTAGAAGGGACAATGAAGCTCTCCAGAGTTATACATACATTTTTTAATGTATGTGTGTTTTTCTAGGGAGAGATCCAAGGGCTTTAATACGATTTTTAAAGGGGTTTCAGTTTTACAAGAGGTTAAGAATTACTGGGTCAGGTTATAGGTTATAGTGATGGTACTGAAAATCAGAAGTCATATCCTTTTAAAAAAACAACTTGTGTTTACTATATGTATGTTTTGGAGAGTTGTACTTGCAGTATAAATAAATCCATTTCATAACCAGCAGTGTTTTACAGTTTCTAAATAGATTATTTGATTAATTTATCAATCGATTTGTTAACCTACTTCATTGCAATAGATGAATATAGTATAACATATGCAATAGATGAATATAATCAGAAATGAACCTTGCTTTTTAAATGCCAAGCACTGTGTTAAACTTATTACATGCATTATCTCATTTAATTCTTGTAGCAAATCTGCAAACCTACCATTATCATCCCTCCTTCCAGGTTAGTAAATACAGTCTCTGTAAGGTTTTCAGTAACATGTCAAAGTTTGAGTCTGAGGAAGGGGAGAAAGTAAAGAAAAATCTATTTTCTAGGTTTGAGTTGAGAGGAGTGAGAAAAAATAGAAAAATATATTTCCAACCTTCAAGGAAACAAAACTTAAGGAGAAAATAATGATCATTTAGAAGTAATGTGTGATAATGGCCAAAGCTACAATAAAGAATAATAAGCATTTTAGGATTTTTTTAAAAGTTTCTTTGGGATTCTGTCTGGACCATGATTGCTGGTTAAAAGCTGAATAGAAGAGGAGAAGATTTTCATCATCCTAAGTTCCACGGGCAAGATGGGGAGTGGACAACATGTGTTCAAGGGGCTAAGGAGTCCCCAATTTCACTAGGACTGGGTTCCTGTTGAGGAGCCAGGGGAGATAAGGCTGGGAGGGTTGTCTGGGTGCACTCCTGTGGTCTTGTGTGCTAAGCTAAAATGTTTGACCTTTAACCTTAGATAATGAGAACCACTTGAAGAGTGTTTTGAGCTGGAAGGTGACATCATGCATACTGTTTTTAGTAAGATTAATTTGGCACCAGTGCACTGGATGGACTGGGAATAATCAAGATCAGAACAAGGTGGTCCAGCTCAGAAAGCATAGAGAACCGAGAGAAAGGGTCACGTGAATGGAGGCAGAAATGTCAAAAGGGGAAGGGTTTGAAAAGGCATTCTCATGGATAATTGATTGTATTCACTGACTTTGTCCGTTTCAAAACCAACTCTGCCCACATAGAGGAAAAGCCACAGAATAGACCCCACATTTATGGGCTTGGATTCTGAAAGAGGCATCAGCTCTATCTCTACTCATTTTGTTTCTACTTCCCTTTTTATGTGTTCTTAGTTTCTCTTTTTTCCCCCATTTTCCTTCCTTTATTTATTTGACAAACATTCCTATTAAAGGCCACACTCAATCTAATGATAGATTTATGGCAGTTAGCAAGAGAGACAAGGACCCTGCCCTGATGAAGCTTACATCCTATTGTTGATAGATAGACATTGATCAAATAAATGAATATATCCATAAGAAAATAAGTAGAGAATCAAAATAAGGTAATGTGACAGAGAGTGACTGGGGGAAAATTTAAGCAGAGTGTTAGAGTGGCTCTTCTGAGGAGATGACATTCAAACAGACATTTGAATGATAAAAGATAGACAGCTATAGTATTTCCCAAATTATTGAGAAAAGAATATTTTAAGTATAGAGAACATCTAGTGCATTGGTCTCAAAACAGAAATGAACCTGGCTTAATCCAGTAATGAGAGAGGGTCAGTGGGCTTGAATACGGTAAACCACAGGAAAAGCGGAAGGAGGCAATATCTGAAAGGTAGGTAGAGGTTAGACGAGGTAAGTTTGTACAGGCCACTGTAATGAGTTAAGGTGTTGGCATTGTAATAAGGTAGAATGTTCCTCTATTTAGGAAGTAAAACAACTGGAAAGTTTTCAAGAGGAGTGTAAGATAAGACCTAATTTCCATTTTTAAAAGATCACTCTGCCTTGAGAATTGATTATAGGGCCAAAATGAAGCAGGTACATTGGGGAGGAATCGTGACGATAGTTTAGGGAAGAGATTGCTGATATGAGAGACTTGACTAAAATTTTAATAGTGATAGTAAACAAGTGTTTCAGAATGGGGATGTGTTTTGAAGGCAGAGTTTGTAGCATTTACGGGTGGATTACATGGGGGTAAAGAAAGCAGAATACAGAACAATTCCCAGATTTTTTGGTTTGAGCATGAATTATGAAAGTGGAAGATGGCAAACACTAAGAGGGAAGTGGGGGAAAATTAACGAGTTCTCTTTTGACTGTGTTAAATTTATGTATTTTGCTCCATTTCTTATGCTTTTAGCCTGATTTTCCCCTCTTTGTTTAAAAGGCTGATAACTTAGTAACGGCACCATCCCCTGGGCACATTTTCCCAGATGGTCAGTTCCTTTATATTGGACTCTTGGGAAGTCTTCACTGCATAGTCTGACTGACAGATAGCTCTTGGTGGCTGGAAGACTAGTGATTGAATGTGGCATGGGTGTTTGAAATTTTTCAAGAGGATCTAAGATGTTAAAATTTAGGGATTTTGAGATTTAGGTTTGGAGGATGAAGTTGCAATTGACAGATATTTGGACATTGAGAAAAGTAGCTTGTTTTGAACCCCAAAAGACACTGAATTTGGATTTGGTATGCCGTTTGAGATCAAGGCAGAAAATGTCTCTGGTAATATTCTGCATGAGTTAGGGACACATCAACGTATAGAGTCCTTTACTCCTGGATTTACAAATCAAGCATGTTGGGGAGAGTTAGTATGACTTGTAGAGTCACTAATCAAGAAATCCACATAAAAATCTAAACTTTTAAAAATAATACCTTTCAGAAGTTGATTTACGTCAATTCAATTTAATTCAGCAATATTACGTGATGTTAGCCTCCACATGTCAACAAGAAACTTTACAGAAGGATTCATCAGAAGACTTTAAATAGAAAGCAAATAAATGACAAGTCCACTTAAAAAAAAAAACACAAAGTGAATGTGGCTTTTGAGAATCACAATTTAATGCATTAAATAAAGTATAACTATGTCTAGTCAGTTACATGTTTTTTTCTGAGGAATTTTACGAAATGTTTTGCGCTTATTTGGAGGTATAGAGAAGGAATGGTGGCTCCCCTTTATTCTCATGGGTTGACTGTTTTTTTTCAGTAAAATAATTTTTAAAAACAATGTTCTTTGTAAACTCAAAATTGCCTTCATCTTGAAAAGCGAGCATCTGAAGAGTTAAGAAAATTTACTATAGTTGAAAATTTACTTCAATTTCTTTCCAGATTATTTTAAATCTGCTTTAAGAAATGCATATGTCCTCTCTAAATATATTGTGGAAATGGTTCATTGAGTGTTATGAAAAGAAAGTTTAGTCTCATTTCCTAAGCCGACTTTTTAACCTGACAGTGCTAAATGGAGAAGAATTCTTTGGGATTATTGTGTGTGTTTTGATAGAGATCCTGAAACAGCTGGTTATTTTCAGTCAACCCATTTTCTCACTGCAGGAAGATACTTCTGCTGTTTGAAGCATGGGAGACAGACCCTTGCAAAATTGGGGGAAAGAAAGATGAAGAAATTCAGAAGGAAAAACTTCATTTTATTTTTTAAACACACATCTCTTACTATTCTATTCAAAAATGTGTATTTATGTGACAAAAATAGTATATCTACTAGTAATATC